AAATTTTCTATGTCCTGTGAGAAACTGCGTTTCATAATGGCCCATCTCCCAATCTTGTTCCAGTCTCTTTCTGATGTTAGGTACAACATATATCCGAACGTTTACACGCTAAAAAACGTTAACATAAAACACTGCTCCCAACGCATTTTCCACTCATCTAATATCTCCTCTAGTTTGTTTCCGATTTAGTCCTACCCTCCTCCTTGTCTTCAAAAATCAACAGCTTATGTAGCGATTATCCAACAGTCCTAAATTGAAATCTTCAGGCGACTGTTGGAGAGCACACTTAAACCATTTATAGTCAATGCTTAAACCCAACACGGTAGGGTGCTTGCTGTATTCGGCTGTATCAACGACAATAGTATTATTTGTATTTCGTTCGCGTCTACCAGTTAAAGTTCGTCGGCCTCCTATTGGCCGTCCTGCTCAACGTCTTATAGTCTCCATTATGTCGAACGTTTTTTTTGCTATGTTTTGATTTTGTGCAAAGTTTTAGTATAACCAGCTGTTTCAAATATTAGTGTCTATTTCAAAGTATTCATCTGTTCAAATGGAAACAAACATTTTCTCCCTAAGAATAACATGGGAACTTTGAAGGCCACTGGGGCAGAGCCCTGATGGAATTCCAAAGTGTTTTTGTTTGATAGCAAAACTACATGCTAAGACCTTTCTAACGACACCTTGGACATGGTGATCGGTAGCACCACCACTCCAAAACAATTATGACAAAAATTTGCCTAGCGTATTAAATATATAGATAGCGTATTAAATATAGATTTAAATTTTATTGTTGCCACCATTTGGAATGTACATGCCACAAACATTTACTTGGACCATATTTCAGATTAATTTATATCAGTAATAAGAAACTTAGTATTAAACTTGTTTAAATCTCTCAGCAAAATGTTCGTCATTAATTTGCACACTACCAAAAAAAGGTCGATATCACCCAAGCTTCCCCTCTGAATTTTAGTTCATCGGGCAAACTTAGGATCCACCGACCAACCTCGCTGGTACTAGTTGTTGACCATACTTGGGTTATATTGAAACGTTGGTACTCATCTTCATAGCGAGAACTTAATTCATTCTCGTCGATTGTATAAAAACGTAGTTACCTCCGGTGTTTGACATGTTAAACACCCATTATTTATCATAAATTCTTTACCTTTGTAACACTATTAAGAGTGGTAGAGGTTTATTTCATATACTTTTGTCTTAGACGTGTTAAAGTATTCAATCTACGTTATCGACACATAGTTTAAACAAAATCGGCTAGATCGCGTTGCTGAAGAAAGTGGAGTTGCAGTACAGTGCAATTAAGGGGGCAATTTAAACAATACTTCAAGTCTTAGCTCTCATCATGGATACAACCAATAACTTGGACCGGTGTCTGGTGTAACTGTAACCTCTTTAAAAAAAGTTTAAGTATCTTCTCTCCGCCATGCAAAGCCTGCCCAGCCCATCCGAGATCCGAGCCTTTTGGTCTACATTTGGAATGTACCCCTTTATCAAGTTTCTGAATCATACAGTACTACTGGGATGGTTATGATATGGTATGAATCAATTTTGGTTTCTACTGACACCCTGCAGCTTACTGGTCAGTTTTCTGGAGACCTACTACACCGGTTGACATTTTCATTACGAATAAAATGTGTACTGTATGCAGTCATACTTATATTCAAACATTTAGAAAAAGATTTATCAACACGTAAACCACTTATATTTTAAAGGATTAAGCACTTATACTTAGACGGATTGCATTTATGACAAAACTTGATTATACGTTTAAAATGTTTAGTTCAAAATTAAACAATCTCCTGATAACATAGATCGTTTACGGTAGGAAAGAAACTACATTTTAAAGTGAAATAGTATGTAGGCAAACTCAGACGATCAGTATTTTTGTATACAAACAACTTGTAACATAAACATTTCAATAACAGTTAGAAACCAGCTGTTAGTTAAACCAGCATTGAAAATACTAAATTGCTAGCGTCGGCTGCTAGACTTTAAAAAAATTAAAACTTAATTTCTAAAAAACTGAAACCCTAAACTAAAATTATGGCTTCGACATTCCCTAGTTCTCAAACTTATCTTTCTTTCGACGCAAAAATCATGAAAATCCGTCAAGTGGTTGATTCAGAGTCGTGAAATAAAAGAAACCCTGTTACGTTTTAATATTGTAGATTTGCTATCCGGTAAAGGAATTTGTGTTAAAAAAAACAACGTTGCTTCAAATCTCTTGCGAGATCTACGTAATTTTTTAACATTTTCTGTTTTTAAAATTACCTACTCAAAATAACTGCTACAGTTTATGCTTTTCGTGGCTCAACAAAGAGCCGTGCATATTGGACTACGAAGTTATGGATGCTTTTAAAAGGTGAAAATATCTAATAAGGAAGAGTTAACGCGTCGCGCCAGAAGAGTTGTTGGGGCGGAGGTTACAATATTACATGACTCGTAGACCCCCTGACCTCACCCCATTCTGCCCTAGTTCCTCCGCGGAACTCCGCTCCAGGCCGGAGACACCTTCTTCATGTAGCTTAATCCTTACTCCATGTAAATTTTTTGAGTGGACGAGATGGCACGAATTGATGTGTTAATCAACTAATATGCGCTGCACGAGATAGCACTACTTGGACGAGTGGTGGAATTTTCACACAGCTAGAGTGTCAAGTAGGCGATGACGACACTTGAAGGGCGTTATTTTCAACATATGGAAAATGACTCCTTCAAGTTGAAATAAAGATAATCCGTATTTTGATGCTATTTATAAAGGGTGTCCTGTATATACATTGGGGCGCTTTCATTGCCTCACCCTGTATATACCACAGTATTGTCTCATTTATTACAATTACTAATTCTGCATAAACAAAGTCTAAAGGATAAAATTACTTAGCTTTCAATTTAATTCGATCCCATTTGTGTAATAAATAAACGAAACTCGAGTAGTTTATTTCAGGTTTCGCAAAGATTTTTAATCCAGCTGCATGTTAAATCCATTTTAATGAAACTGGATCCCAGCGCTAGACTAACCTGATAAAACGTCTTGTTTCTTAAGATTTGCAGTGGTGCATTTTTTCATCACCTACCAGATTACCCCCCTCCCTTCCCCCTCTATTCTCTCTCCAGGACCGTATCTCCCCTTCTCCCTCACGGATCTCTAACTCGCTATCTCTTTTCTTCGAAATTAAATCCTGAAGTTTTCATCATCAGGGTGAGGTATCATGGTTAAAAGCGTAACCATCGTTTTTGCAATTATTAATATCCATCCATGTTTTGTGACAATATCCATATTAAATGTTAATTAATGAGATTAAATATAACTGTAAGCCTATACGTATTGAATAGTAAAGTATATTGTGTGTGTAGAGATTTTTATATTGAAAGGTTCTGATTTAAAACAAAATACGTTTAATACAAACAATAGTTATGCACTACTACGAATTGCTTTATAAATTATCAATTATTTGAGATGGAGTCACCGCCTAGGTGTGTATTTTAACCCAAACACGAGTAAAGGATGAGTGTAGAATGGTGTGAGATGACCCTTTTAGCTTTGTTACTGACAAACAGGCCATGCTGCAGCGCGGGTAGCGCAACACTACGTCACAGTGGTGGATAGTTGTACTAAACTTTTACCATTAAAATCTTACAAACAGCCAGCTTGTTTATTTACCTAAAACATATGGGAATGGTGATGGCAATGAATTTATCAATGAAATCTATCCACTATAGTTCGGCCGCTTAGAAAGCGACCTCCTCCAGCATTGGTTTAGCCGGAGCACATGAAAAGAGCCCGAAATTTTAATCCCCAAAAAGGTTCACTAATCTTAAGCATGGAAAGAGCCCAGGTCTCCACAGGTACCTAAGGAGGAGGACGCTGACTCGTGCAGTCTCTGTTTGATATAATTTTTAAATTGTGTGTATAGTAGTGTTTTAGTAAATAGTGTTGCGTTAGGTTAGGTTAAGTTAGGTTAGGTTAGGTTAGGTAAGCAGACTATATCTTTTAGTAATGTAAATATATTTTAATAATGTATCTTTTACCAGTGTATCTTTTAATTTTTGTAAATCAATTTATGTATTTCAACTGTGTTATTGGTTCTTTTTCTTCTTTGAAGACCCGTTGTGAAAGCTTTTCGCACCGTCCTGGGAGGGACCTTGGAGGTTCGGGCGCTTTTCAAGCGTCTGCCTGAGTTTTTGGGCTCTTTTCATGTGCGCCCGGTTTAGCATTAGCGCGCAGGTCGTTTTCTAAGCGGCCGAACTATAGTGTGACGTCATGGATCCTGCAGCATGGTCTGCTTTTTCTAGTGGGGCCTTGCTAAGATCAGCGGGTTCATCAGCCAGGATCATTTATTTAAAGCCCAATGATCAGGGGCAGCTGGGTCTGGTTTTGAACCATCAAAAAGCTACTGACTTTTCTCAGGATCGGACTGGCGACCTTTTGATTCATGGGCGACCACTTTTACCACTCAGGTACCCAACCTGTTATGGCCTACGTATGGCACTCATAATAATAATCTTATACAGTATTGGTTTATCACTGTAACAAGGCAGATAAATGTATTAACTATTGCAATATTTTCACCTGTATTGGGAGTATATAATTTATTATCCTTAATTGTGCTTTCAAATCTACATTTGACATTATCTGCGGGAATCGTACAAACTTGGTAAAGAAATGTTAGCACTGTCCAGTGTCCAATCTTTAAGGATGGTGCAAATCTCACAGCCCCAATAGAAATTATACTTAATTTTGTATAGGTAATGAGTATTAAAGTTTGAAAATTGCATATTACTAAGAGGTGTCTTTAAAAATGCGTTTTATATGTATCTGTTATTTATTTTCTTAACTTTTGACTACCATGTATGAACTAGTATAAATAATATGTTTAATAGTTCATATTCCACTGATTCTTCATACAGAATTACATTTTGAAGGAACGGAAAAAATGTTGACATTCGAAGACGTGTATTTGATTTGTTTTGTCTTTTTACAGAAATACCACGACAAAGAAGCAGAAGTGGCTAGAAAAGACGGCCTCATCCTCATCAGAGAATTGGCTGCAGAAGTAAAAAATATGATGGATATTAAAATGAACGCTGTTATGGTAAGTAGTTTTGTTATGGTAACACTTTTTTTCAATTATTCAACTTTTTAGATAGTTTTAAGTATTTTACATCAGCTCATATTCTTGGACTCAACCAAATAAAAAGCACACTTTTGGTCGCACAATAACAAAAACCTTATGAATGTATTGTCCGAAAAGCTAAACTTGTTTTGTTGTTTTTCTATTATGTTATTATTGTTAATTTTTTAGAGTTTAACTGTAATTAAGGTAAATGAGTGGTAGGTACGCCTTTATAAGCGGAATTTTTAAAACGTTTTTTACAAGCTGAATCAATTTGTTCAATTAGGTCAATAGTTATTTCCAATTACACTTTTTTACGGGAAAACGTTTTGAGGTGTCGTGTTGTTGAAATGATAGAAAAATGACATTGATTTAGTCCTGGTGACCAATTTATAAATATTTAGACCACAGACTCATCTGGTTCTAAGGAAATTCAATCTTTTACACCCCACCCCCTCCATCATCTAAAGTTTGGCTGCCTAAGTCCCTTACCTCCCTTGAGTAGACAATGCCACCACATTAAGTCTTCAAGCACCCAAAGACCCAGCTCCACCCCTTCATTTAGCTCATTTTCACCCTTAGCGAAGATTCTGGAGGCAAATTTGCCTAAATAATTTTTTATCCGTTTTTAAACCTCAAAGAAGTTAAAAATAATATATTGTGATAAATATATCAAAACACTTACACAGACTCCACTAATTTATTCAGCTGCTTTTATTTCTTTTAGGGAATTTTAAATGTACTATAAAGTTATTTTTTTTGCATTTTAGACATAACCTTATATAATAAAGCTTCAAAATAATAAATTACATGACTTTTTAGTTCTACACGATGGTTGTCATGAAAACTGCGCATTTTATGTTGTAAAGACAACAATTTAAAAAAAAACCCTAATATTTTGTAAAATTCAAAACCCCACAACACCCCGTTCTCATGAGCCAATCTTGTTGCCACCTAATAGCTTCTTCCCCAAAAGGGAAATTCGCTAAAAAGGTTCAATTACTTCTCTTATTCAAAGATATCATTAACTTTATTAATAGTCCTTAAAACTGAACACTACCCAATATTAAATATGTCTCACCTAAATCTTTAATCGTTAACGCAATACGGTATGTCAACACCGATATACAGCGTTTCCTTGACTTTGTAAATAAATCAAATACCTTTTTAAAGGATAAATAATGTACATTTAACATAATTTTGAATCTTATTTTACCTTTAATTTTTCTTGGTAGTATTTAAAAGTTGATTAAAATTAAAACCACATGAATTTTTGAAAAATATTAATGAACCGTAAACCATTTTACATATAAACATTAAAACATAATACAGCAAGATGTGTTAGAATTTTCTTGGTGCAAAAATATGTAAAACAAAAAAAAGATGCCATTTGATTGATTTGGTTTTTTTCATATAATCTATTTTGTTATTGTAAAAATATGTAAAATTAGTTTCCACACAAAAAATGGATAAGTTAATTTTTTTCTAGACAAAATTTGACTTCACGGGTCCCCTACTGGGGATCCCCCCTCCCTCCGATTACACTAAGCAGGTGATTACGCCCGTTTGTATTCAGGGTGTAAAAGTAGACTACAGTCAATGAGAGGGGTTTTGCCGGGAAATAACAACATTTTGGCGCGAAAGGGTGGGAGGGAGAGCAGTTAATTAAGGGGGAGGGCTATGCCGCGCCCTAATCGATTCCAGCCATTCTTATCACTGGAAGAAATTCTGTCGGGTTCAAGCGGGGTAGATCGGGGTCTACCGTCCAAACAGTGTCTTTGCGACAGATAAATGACGGTTTAAAAACTAGTTGAAAATTTTTGAAACATTTTTAAACGTCTAAAAATACGTTATGGGTGAAAAATTACAAGTACATGTAATTGAATAAATGATTGGGTTCAAGCTGTGTGGATCGGGTTTCACCTACCGAATTGTAGCTTGCAACAGAAAATAAAGTTACTTTCAAAATTATTGAACAATAATGAACATTTAAACGTCTTTTAGTAAGTTATGGGGTGGAAAAATCCAAAAAAATAGTTGACCAAAAAATTTAAGTAATTTGGTAAAATTGTGATTATTAGTCGTTTAAATATATTTGTACTTTATTATATTGTTGGGATACTGCAAACGACACGCTTGTCTGCAATATTGGATTTTCAAATATTTGAAATAACGAATTTTAGCATGTTTTGCCTTTTTTAAGATCGCTTAAAATGAACGTGCATGAAGCTTACTGGATGGGTGTTTTATTTTTAGTTAAAATACCTCAAGCTACAAAACACATTAATCAGCCTTTAAAAAATTATTTAAAATCTCCAAACTATAATCTTAGGTTTTCAGTATTATTTTTCTAATTAGAAACTTTTTGTTGTATAAGAGAAAAATGTTCAAAAAAAACTAAATCATTTGTTAGATATAAATTTATAAAATTATAAATCGATGATACGAAACCTTTTAGAGACCATCAAAAGAGTTGAATTATTTTTAAATAGCTAGATGAATCTTGCTTGTTTTGTGTTATTATTTACAACCTACCAGTTATTTAAATCAATAATATCAATTAATTATATTTAATACATTTTTCGCATGTTATTCATGTCTATTTGGCTTAAATATAGCCTGTTTAGTTTAAAATGTAATTTAAACTAGTCCAGCTTAAAAAATCTAAGTAAATAACGAATCTTGTCAAAAATGTTTTACATATTTAAAATCCTCAATGTCAGAAAAAGCTGCCACTATTATGACAAAACAATACAAAACTCTCTTTGTTTCTTTTCATACTCATTGCTTCGGCATTTCAATACAAATGTTCAACATTTTTTCCTTATTGTTGTAATGCTTGTGGAGATGAGAAGATTTGACCCAGCTGTTGCAGAATATAATAATAATTGTAATAATTGTAACTTTGTATCATATATCCTGTGTAAATTATCAATCTGTACGATAATATGAATAATTCATCCATCTTGGGTTGACCCTAATTTTGCATAGTTTGATATTTTACGGGTTATGGGTAAGGATAGTAGGCCTACACCACAATTTCATATTTTAAGTGAGTTATTTTTAACTAGCTACGGTATGACCCATGCCGTACAGGTTGTTCCCCTAGCAAATGCTAGTGTTGAATATAACTACTGTATAACAATCCTTACTGTATACTTAAATGAGTGAATCTTTAGACCTTAGTATCCATACCTCAGTTTTATAATGAAAAAATCTCTTTAGAGTTGAATAAAAATTCAAAACTTCATAATCATATCTATTAAGTCAGTTGATTTTTAAGGCGCACTCGTAATAACCTTCGGGTACGTCTTAGGTAATTCCATCAAAGTCGGACAAAATTTACTCGGGATAACGTGTTTACGGACATACGAATTTGAACGAATAGCTTTTTTGACCTCTGGGTACATCAAAATTAAAAAGTAAATTGGTCCCGTGTCCGGGTCTTCCCGTGCCACCTACGACAATAGAATCTTCCCTAAAGGGAAATACGCTAAAAAGGATAGATACAGCCAAGTTGAAAACAACTTTTAACAGTCAACATCAAGAATATTATGTTTAATAGAAAATCAGAGATACTCTTATTAGATGCAAATTTATATATTTTTAAATTTTCAACAGACTCGCTAAACAGGTAAAAAGGATATTTGAAAAACATTCATCACACAGTTTAGTATATGAAAGGAAAACTTCAACTATTGCTACATTCAGTGACTACTGCATTGTACGTTACAAAACTTTGATACTCAAACTAAAAATAATTCAATCTTAGCGATACATTTTCGCGTGACTTGACGCTCTCATGGGTTATGAATTATTCAAATATTCTCTCCTTTAAATAAAGTCGTATTTTTAACTCGAATGTATTTATTCTTTTACTAAGTACTCCTAGCATCTTGGTGAAAATCATTATTTGTTATACATAAATCGCATAAATATGGTTAAGTCTATTGCGGCACTATCTCGTGAATTTTCTAAATGTAAATTATAAGCCTTAAATTTTTTGAAAAGATTCGCCGAAAACGATCCTTTGTTAAACTAATTACCATTTATGGCAGTACTAATTGAAATTTGTTTACAATGTCCATACATGTTTTAGTTTGCAAAATAGAGCCCTAATAGGGGTAAACGGGCAAAAACATATCTTTTGAAAACGTATTTGGATTTACAGATAATATTTTTTTAATTTTTTTAATATTATTTAAATATTTTTTAATATATGCCTCGTTGGTTAGGCAACAAATTTTTAATATAGAATGAGAATGTTTGCTTTCTCCCAATAAAACAGTTATTACATTACATTACAAAACAATGCACAATACAGAACATGAAAAGAAAATGATATATTAAGTATTTTAAACTTTAAACACTTAAATATGTTATGTGTCAGACTGACTATAAAGATAAAGAAATACAAAGTCTTAATTACAATAATATACATATTAAAAAACAAAATTATACCGAAATAGTATACCAGTGTGCTTAAGTGACTAGTTTGGAAAGAAATGTAGGGCTCCTAAGCCAAAGCCTGTTTTGGGATTCATTTATGGAAAATAATTAAAGACAGCGATCACATAAAATAACCAGGATTTTTAAATTTAAAATGGCGATTTGTATTCAGTACATGCATGCATCTCTATACATTATATGGAAAGAACTAAACGTTATTAACACATGTAGTTTTACAAGTCAGTTTTACAACAAAAATATACTTAGTTGGATTAATTCAAAGTGTGTTTATAGATGTTTCATATAAATTACTGAATACTCTCGAATACTCCTTCAGTCCCACAGAAACTAAACGTCAGAGCACCGAATTTGTAATGTGATGCATATTCCCTAAATGACAACGTGATCATTTTACTAAATTAAAACCAATATATTGAAAATATTGTCAACATTTAAGAAAACATGTCTTGTCTAAAACCAACATTCAAAGTAGGTTCAGGACATTTTCGTGGAATTTTGCCTTAAGAGAC